ATATTCACTACAAATATAGAATTTATTTATTAGGTGTTTTTAGTCTCTAAAAAGGTTCATCGCATGCTCAAAAGTCTCAGACTCAGTATGGTGATTAATAAGGTTGCTCTCATTTGTGAATTCAGGGGTGCAAATGCAATGCTGATTTCTTAATGAAATATTCCCAAAAGGTTTTAAAGACTACAGGTGGGTTGTTCCATAGAATGTGAAGGAAAATGAGATAACTAAGGTGGACACAAGAGATCCTAAGAACATGACCACAACCAGCACCTGCCAAACGTTAAACCACAGAATGTTTCAACAGACATAGGTCAGCAAATGAGGTCAGTTTACAGTCTTTGATACTTGATATCAGGAAGAATCCGAATCAGAATAGTGATCAGTTTAGGATTTCTGCTAGCTGATGAACTATCTCTGAAAACAACTTTTCTGAGAAAATTCCTGATAAGAAACCTTTCCTTCATTTGTCTTACAGCACACTGTTGGGGGTTACTTTTATTCAGTGTACCCAAATTTTGATTCTTTATTTCCTCAATAAATGTTACTTCCCCAGATCTCTGTGTAAAGTATTGTTTTGCAATTTCTCATATTATCTATGCAAAGCTTCCTGCTGTGAACTCCCAGAGCACTACATGCACAGCATTACTCATGTTACCCCAAGAGCGGTGCCCTTCAAGGTGTGTGATATCCATCTGGCTCTCTTCAGTGCTATTAATTTTGATCACCAGACCCAATGTTTGACTTCTCAGCTGTGAAGCTACTATTCTTTCTTTTTTCTCTAACTTTTTATCAATAAGAAATCTGGTAGGGACTTTAAGATCGGTAAATTTCTGTTCCTCAGTAACATTTCCCCCTTAGTGTTAGCATCTGTTGATGATTTTGATCCACGGCAAATGCCGATTTCCACCAGTTCTACAATGCCCTTCTATATTTATCTGTGGGCACTCTTCAGTTAGAAATAGCCTCCCCCCCGACTCCCGTTCACCCAGCAGACTCAGTGCTTCGAATCTCAGTTTTCTCGATGATATTGAAATACCTTGCTTTTCTTTTGTTGGCATTTGATTTTATATTTTTGCCAATCTTTTTGTTATGGTTTTACTATATTGCTTCCTTTTAAATGTGTAACAGCCAAACCTATGTTTTAAAAATGGGTCAATATGATCACTTTTCTTTGTTTACATTGAAATTCAGAAAAATAGTGGAAATGTACACCTTGACAAATAATTCTCATCTTCACATGGGGCATTTTAAAAATAATTGCAATGAAAGATGACACCTGCTCATTGTATCCACCCTGGCAGGAATGAAAGGCTTAATTTTAGAAGGTCATTGTGTAACAAAGGAGCAGATGTGACAGGAGAATAACATTCTCTCCACCCAACCGCAGAGCAATCACACCAGCTACAAGTTTCCACTGAGCACTCTCACCATGGAACAAAATGACCCTTAGCAAATTATGTTTTTCCATTTGTCTGCCTCTTAGGTAAGAGAGCTATATTACACAATAAGTCGAGCTGTTATGGTAATCATCACAGGATTAATTAATTAACATGAGTAAAAGTCTTTTGTATTTCTACACATGAATGATTTTGAAAATCAGTCAACACTATTATGATTCTTTGAGTAAAACTTAATGATTATCAGAAGGAAATGAGAAATAATATAGCACATTACGTTTTCAAAGACCCAGACTTTTTATAGTAAAAATGCTTCCAGCATAAGGTTCATGATGTTTCTTGTATTATTCAGTTTTCAGAACAATGAATTTCCTAAAAATGTAACATAATGCTACTGTGATCTGTCAGAAAAAAAATGCCATTATAAATTCTGAAAACATGTTTCTAGCACAAAATAGAAACTTCCAAACTAAAAAACAAACAAAAACTAAACCTCACATTAAAAGAGTGTTTTATTACTTAATTTTAGTCAAGATTTAGGCAAAATAAAAAAAGGAAATCTATCACAAAATAATTTTAAATGTCTTAAAATTAATCTCAAACTTTTTGGATCAAGCAAATCTATATTCAAAATGTTATCTAGTATTTCTTTCTATTTCTGGAGACTTTGCTCCAATCATTGTCTCTGACTCTTCTGTTCCCCTCTTGAATTATAGATTATCCAAAAGGAAAATAATGAGGATCTATAAAGAATGAAAAAAAAGTCTCATCTATTCTTTTCTTGTATCTCAGATCTCAACATCTTTATACCAGTCCCGATAGTATTCTTGAAAGCATTAGGAAACTCAGAATTGCAAATTGCTTTTGTAGGAAGTAAAATCTACATACCCCAAAGTGGAACTTAAAGCCAATTCCATAGGTATTGGTATAAGACTAAATTTGGTCTGTCATGAATTGTGTTTTTCATTCATTCAACTATGTTTGCTGAGAGCCAACTGTGTATGATACCTGTTCTTATGTGCTGCGGATAAATAGGTGAGTGAAATAATCCAAGATCTTTAATTCATAAAATTAATATTCTAGAAGAATAGAGCCCACTAATAAGAACCCACTAATTTATTGCAAAGAGCCAACATTGCAATTAAAGTTGTATACAAAGTTTTAGTTTTATAAAAGCAACTCATACATTTCAAGAAAAACACAATAACTTTCAATGATTCAAACACAAGAGCTTTCAATGATTCAAACAGCCCACTGCAGCATGAGTGCCACAGGATTGCCACTACTGCTCTGTAGTGACTTGAAAGACTAGAAGTACACAGGAAAAAGTAGCATAATGAGGACTTGGGTGCCATAAAGAGACACATCACAGTCTTCAGTCAGAAGATGACCTGTGACCAAAGGGTTAAATGAAGCAAAGGAGCCAGTCAATGCTTCAGGCAAAACCTTGAGATGGCAGTGTGACCTGTGTGTTCATAAAGAGCAAGGGACCAAAGTCTGATAGATGCCAAGTGTGAGAGAGAGAAGAGGGCCAATGGGGAAAGAGGTGCCAACTCATGCAGTACCGTGAAGGCCATGGTTAGAAAGAGTATCTGTTTCACTGGATAAAAATGAAGACCTTTAGGCATTGGATCTTCACAGTCTTCACAAAACTGTGAATACAGAAATGAAATGACATCTATTTTAGCAGATTGACTTGGGCCACTTGGTTGAGAACAGACCTAGGAGTTGAAAATAGATGCTTGTAAAGGAGATAGAATGTTAAGCAAATAAAGGACATAAGAGTTGATAGTGTGGCTCACACCACAAAAATGACTGCGATACTTCTCACTGTGATAAATCATCAGATATTGAATATATTTGAGAAATTTTCTTGGTAGACTGACTGTGAAGAAAGTGGAATCGAGAATTAATGCAATATTTTTGGTCTGAGCAACAGGAAGGCTAGAGATGCCATTAATGGAAGATGGTGAAGGTTTTGGGTAGAGGGAGATTATCAATACAGTTTTAATCCTCTTGCACCTTGCATATTCATTAGTTTAATCAAGTGAAGATTTCCCACATGTACTGGGATTAAACGAATGTGAAATTCAGAAAAAAGGTATGTAATGGAGATACATGTCTTTGGGAAATATTAGCACAGAAATGAAACTTACGACTGTGAAGCCAAATGCAACAGTTAATGTCTCACTTACTTTTCTTTTGTTGTTCAGATAAAATACTCAACACTCCAAATTAAGGAAGGAAAAATTTATTTAGTTCACAGTTCGTAGGGGTTTCAGTCTATATCAGATAACTCCAAATTAGGGTGGCATGGCAGAGTGGTAATAGTTTATGGCAGCGAAAGACAGCAAAAGCATGAGCAAAAAGTGGGGAGTGAGCTGCTTTTCTTTCCTTATATTGTATGTTGGCCACTTGCCCTCATGTGGGTGTAGCCCTTCTATAGTTTTTGGGCCCTCCTCTTGCACAGGCTCACAATGTTTACAGGTGAGGACCCTGACCCCCTGCTGAGTCTCGTAGTTAAACTTCTAAACTTCTCAAATTGACACAATGAACAACATCCTAGAGCAGTAAGGGCATGTTCTCTACAACCTAGGATGTTACCCTAGGTAACTGCTGAGTTATCTAGTAAAGCAGCTAAACTTCTCAAATGGACACAATGTATCAACCACCACAATTAAAGGAGTGTGGACCTAGTGGAAAAGAAGACCTAAGACTGGGTCCTGAGGCACCCAACATAAGGTACTGGTGAAGAGGAAGAATTGACTGAAGAGAACATAGAGAAATTATTATTCCTACATTCATGGGGAATGTGCTCCTTTCTGTTTAAGCAGTTAGGGAAAAAATCAGAGAAGGGAGGATTAAGAAATTGGTGCATAGGATAGATTGGCTGTAGAAGGTACCTGTTCCTTTTCCAAAGGTTTGAAAGAAAGGACAGGAGCATCAATGGGAAATTATTTTCTTAGGCATGTGTTAAAGTTAGAACTTGTTTGCCCTCTTATAGGTCAAATAATGTATCTACAATTAGAAAATACTACTGAAATCTCTAGCACAAAATATAGCATTTTGTTCACGTGACCACATGTGCTCAATATATTTATATGTGGAACTTTTAGCAAATTCTCAACAAATGCTTGTCAAATTACTAATATGTTTGCTCTGTTGAGAATTTTAAGATGTTCTTTTTGCAGAATGAAGGCATACAAAAACTTTTCTCAAGACATACATATATGCCTATTGAATTGGAAACTAGTTTATTGAGACATATAACATACTTTCTCTAAAATTACTTGTCAGAATTCACTGGCAGGCAGGCAGAGTGGGTATGAATTGACTCTTTGTCTTAATTCTGGCAGAATGGCAATTGTAGCTTATGAGACAACCAGTGAAAATATGAATATCCTTAAACACAAGATAAACTTTCTTATTTGGATTTAAGTAAGTCATCTCTATGCAGAGCTAGGCTTTGATATATATTTGCTTAGTAGTACTCTAGAAAATCAGAGATTATTTCAATGAGAGTCTTAATGTCTCCTCTCTCGAAGGAGCAGAGCGTAACTAACAAACCAGATTGTTCCTTCAGGAATAAGCAGTGTTGGTTACCAGGGTAGGAGGAGATGGCATTGATGTGAGCGGTCCGGATGACGCCCACTCGGGTCCCTCGGTTGTTCTTCATGCACATGCAGATGCAGATGGCGATGCCCGCAATGACTCCCATGATAAACACGATCCCGAACACAATGCCAGCAATTGCAGTGCCCCTAAAGAAAAAATCAAAGTGCGCTTTCAAAGAAAGTTCTGTAAGGATTCTTTAATTTTTCAACGATAACCCCATGACTATGGCAAGTGCTTCTCTATCAATGTTCATAGGGATAATCCTTTTAAAAATTTCTCAAGTCAGGCAAGCCAATAGTCTGTATTTTATCGGGGAAGAAACAGTTATAAAGCTTTAGGGAATCCATTTCCAACACCTCTCACCAATCAGTCACTCAGAGTTTTGTTATTAAAATTCATTTTTATACAAAGTAAAAATTTCCACTTATGTTCTCTAAAATAATCAATAAAAAATCTGCTGTGTACCTCAATAATGAAAAATTTATCTGTTGAGTATGGAGTATACATATTTAAGAAAACTTGCTAAATGACTAAATGTAAAAATTTAGTATTTTATTTTTGATTAAACATAACTTCATAGGATACTTTTAACAAAACAAAACGCCAAAACAAGCAATATATATTTCAGAATTATATATATATATAAAATCCACAAGACATCTATAATAAGTGTCTTCATTAAATTCAGAAATGATAGAAGCTAAACTTGTACCCATGCTAATGCCACAAAATCACAAATAGAAAAAAATGATGTGAGATAGTTAACATCATCATTATTTGTGAGTAACATGATTTGTTGACATTTGTATTTGTCCATTGCTTTGAAAAGGAATGAGAAAATCTTTATCAAAATGAAAATCTTGACCGAGGGTATTATTTCTGGCAAGAAGTATTACGAAAATAGAGCACATGTATTCACAAATAATATAGTGAGAGTGTTCATCAAAGTAATCCAGGGGAAATGATCATGACACAAGATTAATTTTAAGAATACTATAAATGGAGAAGTAGATATTAGTATGTACAAAAGAATTGCAATATGATAATTTTTGAATGGATATTGAATGGCTATTTTGTAAATATGGAATAATAAGGCAATTTTCTACTTTCTAATTTGTGTATTCCAAAAATGCATTTCTAGGGGCTGGGGATTTAGCTCAGCGGCATAAGCGCCTGCCTTGCAAGCAGGCAGTCGTGAGTTCGATTCCTGGTACCGATAAAAATGAAAAAGACAAAAAAAAAATGCATTTCCAATCATTTTCAACTCTTTCAGTTATTTTATATATTTTTAACTTGTTTTTCAATATTTTTATTAGTTATTTTATTTTAAATATTCTAATTATTTTATGTTGGCTTCTCATTTAGCATTGGGGAATGTAGGACTCTCAGACAAGCTTACTTTAAACTTATTCAAGGAATTTCGAGGAATTTTTATTTTTCCATATTATTATTGCAATTCTCTCTTCCAGAAAATTCCTAGAAATCTTTCACACAATAATCAGTAACTTTTTCATACTCAAGCACAATCAAGTTTCTGAACTCAAGGCCTGGTATTTCTTTCTTTTTCTTTTTTTTAATCGGTACCGGGGATTGAACTCACAGCCGCCTGCTTGCAAGGCAGGTGCTTATGCTGCTGAGCTAAATCCCCAGCCCCTTGTCCTGGTATTTCTTGATGAGCAGCCCTGTTTGCAGTAGCAGTGTCCTCAATGGCTTCTTTTTCTTCCTCTTCTTCCTCTTTTTCCTCTTCTTCTTCTTCTTCCTCTTCTTCTTCTTCTACTTCCTCTTCCTCTTCCTCCTTTTGGTACTGGGAATCAAACTCAGGACCTTGCGCTTGTCAGGCAGGTACTTACACCACTGAGCTGTATCTCCAGATCTTTGAATGTCTTCATAAAGGTGACTTTAAAGACAAGTAGTTTTTTGGACTTTACATGCCTATAAATAACTTCATCACTTGATTCCTAACTTGGCTATTGTGTTAATCAGCTTCCTGTTACTGTAACAAATACCTGAGGAAATTCAACTTTATAAGGAGAAAAGGTTATTTGGCTTGTGGTTTCAGAGACATCAGTTCATGAGAATTTAAATGTGTTGGCATTGGAGCTAGGACAAGGCTGTACTTCATAGTGTCATGCTCTGAGGAAGCAAAGTTAGAAGAGGAAAGGGGTGGGATTGTAATGGCCCCTTCAAGGGCATATCCTCAGTGATCTAACTTTTTTTACTATTCCCTACTGCTTAAAAGTTCTACCATTTTCCACTAGTATCACTCAAGGTGTCATCCCTTTAACACAGAGGCCTTTGGTACACTTATCCACACAATAACAGCTATATATGGAATTCGAAGATGAAAGACATCATTTGTCTTACAGAATATAGAAAAACTGTAGAGAAACCTCTTGGCATTATGATTACTTCGTGACACATCATTTTTCTCTTTTTGTTCTATCTAGAAGTTTTTGTTCTTTTCATTTTTTTATCCCTGGTATTCTAAAAGTTCACAAAGTAGCTATATTTATAAATATTTTATCAGATTAGGATTCCTTCTTACTTCCTGAAAAGAGTTATATTCTTCAGTTTCTGAAATTCATCCTTAGATTTGTAATTTTCTACCACTTATCATGTTTCTCTTTCTGGAAATCTAACCTAAAATAAATTTATAAGTTTCGTAAGTGCTTCTTCATTCTTAGCCTTTGTTCTTAAAACTAATTTCTGGGGAATTTCACTGCCTTGATGTTCCAAAGCTTTAGTGAACTTGTACAGTTCAGTGATCATATTTTAAAATTTCACTGCCTTATCCTGTACTGCACTCCACTCATGTTTAAAATACTGTCTTCATTTTCTTTTATGGTTGCAGTCTTTTTTTCTTACTTCTGAAGTACTATTTCAGAATAGTACTGAAACTCTCCACATTCTGCGTTTCCTGTGCTCTAAGCTCCCTGTTACTGATTGTTTATTTTGATCTCTTCCGTATTTGGTGTTTTCCTTAAATGTCTGGTGGTCACTGAGTCCCATTACTATGGCTTGGATGTGACTTAAGTGTGTCCTCTAAAGATGCGCCAGGTGAAGATGTTAAGGCGTGGTGTGGGATTTAGTGAGGTGGGACGTTGTGAGGACACTGGGCGTGTGCCCTTGGAGGGGATTTACATAGTCTTCATGGGACCCAGTTGCTTCCCGTTTTCTGTCTTGTTATGTGAGTGTGCCTCCTCACCTGTGCTCCTTTTTGATGCCCTGTGCCTGATGTAAGTCCCAAGGAGCCATGGGACTCCTTGGCCAAGTGATGCCATGCTGTTTGGACTTACAGACCCCAAATCATGAGCTACACAAACTTCTTTTCATTGTAAGTTAGGCAGCTACAGGCATTTTATTATAGGAAGAGGAACAGATGAATTCATCCTTCTCCTTAGAAAAGCCTTGAAGAGCTGTTTGAATGTTCACTGTGCAAGGCCAGGACTTGGTAGGTGATCTCCACAGGAGGGGATCACCGAGGTCACCGTTAATGTGTCGTTTTCTTGAGGTTGTTTATTTTTCTCCACAAAAGTATTCTTCAATTTCATATTCAGGTCACATGAGCCTGATAGCCTGTTGGGTGCAGGCACTCAACATACCATACCCCACCCGGGACTAAGGACCACGCCAGTTTCCGCAATGCGCTACGTCCCTCTTTAAATTAGCCAACCCGTGCGCACCTCGTGCTCCCTCTGTATTCGCCCCGGGCCGACTCTGTGGCAACTCCTGATTGGCCACAGCTGGATATAGTAGCCAGAGCCTGCGTCCCATTCCCGCCCTGCTTCCTCGTGGCAGCCTGTGATTGGTCACGGCCAAATATATAAACCAGAGCCTGTGTAAATAAAGCAGCAGTTAACTGTCGCCCACAAGAGCGTCTCCTGTCTCATTGGGGGGCTGTGCCGGTCAATAGCCAGTATCCCAAAGATCTAACTTTTGCTAGAAAGGATATGAATTTTCACAGAATCCTTACGTTTCTGCTCCCGAGACTCAGGCTTTTGCTGCACTTCCAGGTTGCAGTGTTTCAGGTTTAAAGCCCGATCTCTGAAGGAGTCCAGACACCTCCATTTCAGTTGAAGTTGGGGAACCTTGAGCAAGTTGTTCAGCCTCTCTGTGCTTCTCTGCCTCATTTATCTGATGACAGTCAGCTTGGTGCTTATCTGACTATCCTGCCAAATTTCTTGTGATAAGTCCTGGCTCATAGACTATTTTTTTAAAATGCCAGACAAATACATTGTAATTCTCAGTGTTCTATGAATATTCATCATACGCTTTTCTAGCATAGGCCTATAATCTCTCACCCCAAACTGTGGAGGTCAGACATGTCTCACACATCAGAGATTTTCATATTTTGGAAAACGAATAAAATACATCTGCAGCATATTGACTGATATTCCGAGAGCACGTGGGGCAGCATCCTGAGCACATTTACATTTCTGCTGGAAAAGAGGAAATATTAACAGCCATGGGTTACACCGAGACTAGAAAAAAGCCTCCAGTTCCTGTCTTTTCTTCCCACTAATTTACCCTTATCTGCAACTCTAAAATCCTCAAAGAACTCTGAAAAGTGAAAACAACAGATAAAGGATTGTGAATCCTTCTTGTGCTTTCCTGAAGACATTTCTCTCTAAGACATTTTCTTACTCACTTAAAAAAATACCATATGGAGAATTTCAATAAACTTTAAGGTATTTTCACAGGTCCATTTCACCTTATTTTTAAATTATAAACATAGAATGTGAGATGTTTACCTGTGGTACTATTAGTGATTAAAGTTTGGCAGAGTCTGCTCATTTAATAAATGCATCTTTTCAAGAAAGAAGATTTATCAAAAGAAATAATCTGAGGTGAAAATGGGAAGTTATCTGAAAATCTCTTTTGTATTATAATTTTCAGGTCCAAATGAGATTAGAGGACCTAGTTTATGTTCCAGAAATAATCAATGGCCCAATTATTTAGACACAGTTTTCAAAGTATGTGTTCCAGAAGTTGTTACGATATCAAATTGGAGCATATTTGTATTCATTAATTCCTTTTTTTTAAATGGAGGAAGTAGAAAACTAGTCACATTTTGTTTCCCTGATGGCAGCTCTTAAGGTTAACAGTGGAGTTGTAATTACTGTGTTAAATGAGAACTTTTAAGTAA